GGGCGCCCCCGGCTGGCAGGCTGGGGCGGGTGTACTCCCGCTGCCGCCGCCTTGATCAGCGGTTCACTCTTGCCCTGCCTGGCACCTGCCGCGAGATTCTGGGTTACAGAGGCCCCAGTTCTCCCAGGGTCCTAGTCTCCCAGGGCCTTTGTCCCTAAAGATTCTACCCTGAGATTCCCCGGGATCCACTGGGATCCCGGTCCTGGGAAGCTTCGTTTCCGCTGCATGCTTCAGTGATCCTTCTCCCTTCTCGGCGAGCAGCCGAGGATTCCAAAGCAATACTCCACACACTGACGGTCCTCCCTCCCACCAGATCCCCAAGACCGGATTTCTACGGAAAGAATCCTACAGCGCGGTTCTTCCAATCAGACGCCGCACGGCGCTCCTCCTCCCCCTGTGAGCTTTAGCTCTGCAAAGCTCCACTCCGGCGGGGGCAGCCCGAGCTTTGGCATCACAGAACTCAGTCTGGATCCCGGGGGATCTACTGTCAAGCAGATACCCTCTTTGCTCCAACCCCGGAGGTTCCGCCCACAGACACCATCCCACCCACACCTCCTACCCTGCCTGTATCCCCTCCCAGCGTTCCACCCAGCCCGGGACCAGATGGTTCAAACGCTCCCTATCCCGCCCCCCCTCCTGCCCGCTCTGCAGCCGCTCCTTGCCCTCCCCCGCGCGCCGCTCACCGCCGCCTCCCGCGGATCCCGGGTCTTCGATAGCTCCCACCTCCGACTCCTTTAAAACCAGCCTTACCCAACGCTGCCCAACCGCCCGGGGCCTTCTTCTCGGAGTCTCCGGGCACCGCCCAATCGCCGGTCCCCGTCTTCCGGGGTGGTATGAAACTAAGTGAAGCCGCCTGGTGGCCATTATCCCTAGGGGCAAGAAGCCAAATTGGGCAGCACCGCCATTATAGTTGTGGGCAAATATCGTAGTCCGGGTTGAACCTTAGTGGACGCGACAGCGTCATCTTTTCGAAGGCGAGTTAGTAGCTAAATACTATGCCAATTTCATGACATGCTGAGGCAACCATAGTGAAGCTAGGGTGCCTCCACGTTTTTTAAGGGCATCTTCCGGTTCTTTCGCTCTTAGGCCAATGAGCGTCGACCGACTGCTAACGATTTGTGAAATTCCCAACGTCCTAGAGAGGCCTCATCCGAGTCTGATTGCGACACAACCCGGAGTTCTTCCACCAGATTCTCACCGCACAGGATCTGAGTTTGGGAGGGAGTGGCGGGGGTCCTGAGTTCAAACACCGGAGGTCAAAGACCAGGGCAGGTGCAGCCTCGGACTTCTTTGTTGCAAGGGGTCCTGGAGAAATTGGGCCCAGCCGAAGTTGGGAAGAGGTTGGGCATGTTGATCTTCATTTCGTCTGAGTTTTGTATGCTTCTTCCCGAGGAGTGGAGGTGTCCGCTAACCGCAGAAAGGGCTCACCATTGAGGCTCCATTGCAGGAGGTCATAAATCCACCTTAGCTTGCTTGGTGGGGCCGGTTCAGCTTCCCTCTTTGTTCGGGACTCCCAGGAGCCACTATCAGGAGGAGCCTGACTGATGCAGACCGTAAATACTCAGGGTTCAGGGATGGGATCTCGAGGCTTGGAGAAACTGCATCATGGGTTTTTAGCAGGAGCCAGACTGTTGGTGGGGAAAAAGTGAGCATATACCGTCTTCTCGCACTGTGAAGGCGCCCTCAGCACCTAATCCAGAAGAACTATTCCCTGTTCCAAAGCAAACCTTGTTTTCTTAATAAAACAAGAGAGCCTGAAGCCTAGTGTCCTGGGTTTAAGATCAAGGTGCCGAGGCACCTCTCGGTCTAGAATAATTTTCTTTCGGGAGATTGAGTGATGAAAGTGTTGAAACAATGATATGGAAAGAACAGAATTGGTAATCAGCAGCATGGAACGTAAAGATTCTCCAACTCCGTCCCAAGGACTCTCTTCAAGATAAAAGTGCTCTCAGGATTACAATGTCTCTTTGTGACTGGAGATCGGCTGGGTCTCTGGAAATCCTTTATGAGATTTCTGGTGTGAGTAGGCAACAGCTCTTCCAGCTAGAGGGATTTTCTCTCCTCCTGGATCCATTTGGCCGTGTGGTGCCTAAAGATATTCTCTGGAGGTATGGTGAGTGCCTAGGCCTAGAGTGTCCTGAGTTTAAACACACAGGTCCTTTCTAGGCCCCAGGGCAGGACAAGCCTTCAAGAGCAGAGCAAACAATCTGATTTTTGATTCTCTAAGTTGCCAGAAGTCTCAACAACACTAAGGGTAAAGGAAGTAGCCTAAGGAAAAGGCCTGGAGGCTGAAAATTTGGTAGATAGGGCCCAATCCTGAGATCCTAACTTAGGGCATAGAGTTCATCAAATTGAAATCTAGGGTAGACTGTCCCAGCCCTCAGCCTAGGCTAGCAAGGGTGAGCACTCGTAGCTTCACAAAATTGAACTCTGCCCTTTTTGTGACTCCTATTTCAACTACTCCTACCTAACCCACCATCTGGGTACATATTACAATATGTGACTAGTGTGTGCTGAATGGTTCACATAAACTCCAGTGGGGCTGCTGATGGGCTGTTAGTGCACTTTAGTTATCTTTCCTCAGAAACTGGTCCTCTGGATCTCCCATCTTCTTAACTGTGTTTGGCCTTATATATAGGATAGGAACAATAAGCCCTATCATGCCCATCTCAAAATAGACTTGGAAGATGAAGAGCAAGAGAGCAAGACACAAAGAGAAAAAAAAAGTGAAGCTGGGTGTAATGGTACATACCTATCATCCCAGTGGCTAGGGAGGCTGAGGCAGGAGGATTGCAAGTTCAAGACCAGCCTCAGCAACTTAGTGAGACCCTGTCTCAAAAAAATAAAAAGGACTGGGGATGTAACTCAGTGGTAGAGCAACCCTGGGTTCAATCCCTAGTACCTGCCCCCAAAAGAGGATGATAAAAGCTGCTGCTTCTTAGCCAAGTGCAGTGGTGCACAGCTATAATCCCAGCAATTTGGGAGGCCAAGTGAGGAGGATCACAAAGTTCAAGACCAATTTAGCAATTTAGTGAGACCCTGCCTTAAATTTAAAAATGCCTGGGAATGTAGCTATTAAGCTCTACCATTAGGTAGAGCACACCTGGAGTTCAATCCCTAGTACTGCAAACAACAAAAAGCTGCTTCTTTCTGCTCTGAGTGCCCTGCCCCTTTGGGTCCTCCAGCTAGCTGCTGGAGACCTTTCTGTTAAAACCCACTAGCCTGAGCTCCAAAACAGCCAGGGTAGAGTGGGTGGGGTTGTAGCTGCAAGGTATCAGAGATGGGTGAAATGGGTCAATTTTAGCACTTTACCAGGAACCACACCTCAGAAATAACAGTAAGCCTTGGGTTTGGGTTGCTGCTCTGGTTTGCATTAATCCATTCAACAAAATTTTAAGACTTCCCAGGTACTATGTCCTCGGGGGAAACATGCCTAACCCCTGAGAGTTTGTATCCCTGCATTTATACCTCTGAATACGAGATTGCCCTCAGTTCTGATGCTTCCAGCAACTTCAATCCTCTACTCTGAGGTACTTGATTTAGCCAGGTTCAAGCACATTCCTGCCCAATTTAAGTCCCCTGATGAACATTGAAGCTTCACTTCTGGGGGGGTTTTCTACTCTAGTCAGCTACTTCAGATTGTTATTATTATTTTTAATCTGAAAAATTTGGTCCTGCCTATGGTCCTCCTCCTCTTTCCCAGTG